GCCTCCTCACTAAAGTTTATATTTCATCATTTTTACAGGTCCAAGCACACTTAATTGTCACAACAAACAATCAGTGTCGTTATGATGAGTCCTACCTTACAGATGAAAAAACTGAAATTCAGGACTCATCACCCAAATTCAGACCCAACAGGTCATAAAACAGGTGCTGAGCTTTGTATATGAGGAACACAAACATATGTAAGACAAAGTCATGCCTTCAATGGTTTGCAAACTAAATCAGAATAAACAACATGGACAGTGATTGGAAGACAAAAGATCAAGGTAAAAGACAGAACATTTAGCTCGGATATTAACCAGAGAAGTCTACATGCAGGAGACAGAAATCGGAAGTTGTGCAATCATCACATTCAGGAAAAGACATGAAAACATTCTGAGGGTCCTGAGGTTTGGATTTTTTTTATTATAATATACAGTTAGTACCAGAGCAGGGATTTGAACCCACTTCAGAACTCATCACAATTTCATTTGCACCCTACATTTTCTAAAAGAGACCATTTTTCGAGCAGATTTAGGATAACAACAATATTGAGCAGAATATTCCAGAGATTTCCCACATATCTCCTGCCTCCACGCATGCATAGCCTCTCCCATTATCAACATCCTCCACCAGAGCAGTATGTATGTTACAAATGATGAACCTAACTTGACACATCATTATCATCCAAGGTCCAGAGTTTATATTAGTATTCACTCTTGGTGTTGTACATTCTATAGGTTTGACCAAATTTTAATGACTTTATAGTATCAAACAGAATAGTTTCATTGTCCTAGAAATCCTCTGTTCTCCACCTTTGTATGCCTCCCTCCCCACTAATCCCTGCACTGATCTTTTCACTCTCTATAGTTTTGCCTTTCCCAGAATGTCGTGTAGTTGGATTCATACCTTATGTAGACTTTTCAAACTGGCTTCTTTCACTTAGGAATATGCATGTGAGTTTCCTCCATATCTTTTCATGGCTTAATAGTTCATTTCTTTCTTTTACTGCTGAACAATAGTCCCTTGTCTGGATGTGCTACAGTTTATTTATCCATTCACCTACTGAAGAACATTTTAATTGCTTCCTAGTTGTGACCATTATGAATAAAGCTTCTATAAGTATCCATGTGCAGGTTTTTGTGTGAACATAAATTTTCAATTCCTTTGGCTAAACACCAAGGAGAGAGACTGCTGGATTATGATAAAATATGTTTAGTCTTGTAAGAAATTGTTAAACTGCCTTCCAAAGCAGCTATACTGTTATGCGTGCCCACCAGCAATGAATGAGAGTTGCTCCATATCCTTGTCAACATCTGGTGTTGTCAGTTAGATCTTGACCATTCTAATAGGTGTGTAGTTGTATCTCACTGTTGTTTTACTTTGCATTTTCTTGATGACATATGATGTGGAACCCTCTTTCATATGCTTATCTGTCATCTGTGTGAGGGGTCTGCTGAGATCCTTGGCACATTTTTAATTCAGTTGTTTGTTTTCTTATTGTTGAATTCTAAGAGTTTTTTGTATATTTTTGGCTAACAATCTTTTTCAGCTTGGGGTTTGTAGGTTTTGTTTTTTGGATAACGGTCTTTTATCAGATATGTCTTTTGCAAATATTTCTCCTCCTTTGTGACTTCTCATTCTCTTGATGGTGTATTTTGCAGAGCAGAAATTTTTAATTTCAGCGAAGTCAAACTTACCCACTTTTTTCATGAATCATGCATGTCTTTAGTGTTGTATTTATGAAGTCATGGCCAGACCAAAAGTTATCTAAATTTTCTCCAATATTATTCTCTAGAAGTTATATAGTTTTGCATTCTTAATTTGTTTTTGTGATGATTTTAAGTTAATTATTGGAAGAGTGTAAGGTCTGTATCTAGATTTTTTTTTTCCATGTAAACATCCAGTTGTTCTAGCACCATTTGTTGAAAGGCTATCTTTTCTCCATTGTATTGCCTTTGCTCCTCTGTCAAAGACCAGTTTACCATAATTATGTGGGTCTATTTATGAATTTTCTATTCTGTTCCAGTGATCTATTTGTCTGTTATTTTGCCAGTACTTGATTACTGAAGCTTTAAAGGAAGTCTTGAAATTGAGTGATGTCAATACTCCAACTTTGTTCTTCTCCTTCAATATTGTGTTGGCTATTATGGATCTTTTGCCTGTCTATATAAACTTTAGAATCAGTGTATTGGTATCCACAAAATAAATTGCCAGGATTTTAATTGGGATGGCAATTAACCTATATATCAGGTTGTGAAGAACTGACATCTTGACAATATTGAGTCCTCCTTGCCACAAACATGGAATATCTCTCTACTTATTTAGTTACTTTGATTTTATTCATCAGAGTTTTGTAGTTTTCCTCATATAGGTCTTGTACATATTTTTCCAGATTATTCCTAAGTATTTTTTCGGGGGGTGCTAATGTGAATGGTATTGTCTTTAATTTCAAATTCCACCTGTTCATTGTTAGTATATTAGGGAAGAAATTAGCTTTTATATATTAACCTTGTATCCTGAAACCTTGCTATAATGGCTGATTAGTTCCAAGAGCTTTTGGTCAATTCTTATGGATTTTCTACATAGATGATCATCTCATCAACAGACAAAAGTTTTATTTCTTCCTTTCCAGTCTGTAAATCTTTTATATGCTTTCTTGTCTTATTCCACTAGTTAGGACTTCAGTATAATGTGGAAAAGCTGTGCTGAGAGGGGACATCTTTGCCTTGCTCCTGATCTTAGTGGGAAAGTTTTTCACCATCAATTATGATGTTAGATGTAGGGTTTTTTATAGATATGCTTTATCAAGTTGAGGAAATTCTCTAGTCCTCCTTAACTGAGAGGGTTTTTTTTTTAATCATGAATGGAAATTGATATTATCAGATGTATTTTTTTGCATCTATCCATATGATCATATGATTTTTCTTCTTTAACCTGTTGATGTGATGGATTACATTAATTGATATTTGAATGTTGAACCATCCTTGCATACCTGGGATAAATCCCACTTGGCCATGGTATACAATTCTTTTTATACATTGTTGGACTCAATTTGCTGGTATTTTGTTGAAGATTTTTGTATCTTTGCTCATGAGAGGTATTGGTCTATAGTTTCTTTTCTTGTAATAACTTTGGTTTTAGTATTAGGGTAATGCTGGCCTTATACAATGAGTTTACAAGTATTCCCTCTTCTCTGCTTCTAATCTCTGAAAGAGATTGTAGAGAATTGGTTTAATTTCTTCCTTAAATATTTATTAGAATCCACCAGTGAACCCATCTGAGCCTGGTGCTTTCTGTTTTAGGAAGTTATTAATTATTGATTCAGTTTCTTTAATATATAGAGGCCTACTCAGATTGTCCATTTCTTCTATGTGCATTTTAGCAGACTGTCTTTCAGGCAGTTGGTCCATTTCATCTAGGTTATCAAATTTGTAGACATAGACTTGTTCATAGTACTCCTTGATTATTCTTTTAATGTCTGTAGGATTTGTGGTGATGTTCCTCTTTCATTTCTAATATTAGTAATTAGCATCTTCTCTCTTCTCTTCTTTTCTCTCTTCTTCTCTTCTCTTCTCTTCTTATCCTAGGTAGAGACTCAACAATTTTATTGATCTTCTAATCAAAGAACTAGCTTTTAGTTTCATTGATTTTCCCTATTGATTTTCTGTTTTCAGTTTTATTGATTTCTGCTCTGACTTTCATTTCTTTTCTTCTGCTTACTTTGTATATTTAATTTGCTCTTCTTATTCTAATTTCCTAAGATTGAAATTTACATGACTGATTTTAGATTCTTTTTCTTATTTAATATATGCATTTAGTGGTATAAGTTTCCCTTTAAGCACTGCTTTTGCTGCATCCCACAAACTTTGAGAAGTTATGTTTTCATTGTCATTTAGTTCAATAGTTTCTGTGGGGATTTTTTAATGTTTATTTATTTATTTTGAGAGACAGAGCACAAGCAGAGAGGGGCAGAGAGAAAGGGAGAGAGAGAATCCCAAACATGCTCCATGCTGCCAGCACAGAGCCCAACGGGGGCATGCAATCTCATAAACCATGAGCTCATGACCTGAGCCGAAATCAAGAGTCAGTTGCTGACTTAACCAACTGAGCCACCCAGTCACCGCAACTTCAACAGTTTTTTAGTTAATTTCCCTGAGGTTCTTCATTGATCTATGTGTTATTTAGAAGTGTGTTATTTAGGGGTGCCTGGGTGGCTCAGTTGGTTAAGCATCTGACTCTGGCTCAGGTCACGATCTCACAGTTTGTGGGTTTGAGTCCCATGTCAGGCTCTGTGCTGACAGCTCAGAGCCTGGAGCTGCTTCAGATTCTGGCTCCCTCTCTCTCTGCCCTTCCCCAGCTCATGCTCTGTCTCTCTCTGTCTCTCAAAAGTGAATAAAGGTTTTTAAAAAATATTTCTTAAAGAAAATTGTGTTGTTTAGTCTCCAGATATTTTGAGATTTTTCTAGCTATTCTCTATTATTAATTTCTTAAAATTTTTTTTAATTTTTAAAATTTTTGTTCTGTTACTAATTTCTATTTTAATTCTATTAGAGTCTGAGAGCAGATGTATGATTTCTATTCTTTTAAATTTGTTGAGGTAGGTGCGCCTAGGTGGCTCAGTCGGTTAGACATCTGGCTCTTGATTTCAGCTCAGGTCATGATCTCTCAATTCATCGGGCTCTGCACTGACAGAATGGAGATTGCTTGGGATTCTCTCTCTCTCTCTCTCTCTCTCTCTCTCTCTCTGCCCCTCCCCAGCTTGTGCATGCACTCTCTCTCTCAAAATAAATGAATAAACTTTAAAGAAAAGCTTGTTGAGGTGTGTTTTGTGTTTTATGGCCAAGAATGGGGTCTGCCTTGGTGAATGTTCCATATGGGCCTGAGAAAAATATGTATTCTGCTCTTACTGGATAAAATGAACTGTAGATGTCCATTATATCCAATTTATTAATAGTGTTATTGACTTCGGCAGTGTCATCCCCAATTTTCTGCCTGCAGGATCTGTCTGTCCATTTCTGATGGAGGGGAGTTGAAGTCTCTAACTATGACAGTGGATTCATCTATTTCTCCTTGCAGTTCTGTCAGTTTCTGCCTCACATCGTTTGACTCTCTGTTGTCAGGTGCGTACATATTAAGAATTGTTATGTTTTGTTGAAGAATGAATCATGAGGATTCTTTTTAATTGCATTTTTTAAATTAAACATTTTATTTTCTGAGATAGGTGTAGATCACATGCCCTGATAAAGAATCCAGAGAAATCCCATGTGCCCTTTACCCAATATCCCCCAATGGCAACATCTTGCAAAACCATAGAATTAATATCACAACCAGGACATTGATATAACTGCAATCCATCAATACAAATCAGGTTTCCCAGTTTTACTCATACTCATTTGTGCATGTCTGTGTATTTAGTTCTGTGTAATTTAATCACACACGTAGGTTCATGTGTCCACCGCAGTCAAGATAAAGAACAGTTCCATCACCACCAATATGCTTCAGGTTGCTTTTTATAAATGCTCCCAACTCCCTTCTCTCCTCCTCCTGCCCCAGTCCCTAACCTCTTGTAACCACTACTCTGTTATCCATTTCCATAATTTTGTCACTTCAAGAATGTTATATAAATGGGAAAAGGATCCAAATAGACGTTTCTCCAAAGAAGAAGTACAAATGACAGATAAACTCAACATCATTAGCCTTCAGAGAAATGCAAAGCGAAGCCACATCAGATAGCACTTCACACCTGCAAGGATGGCTGTTATCAAAAAGACAGTATTGGCAGGGATACGGAGAAATTGGGACTCTCATCCAACACTGGAGGGAAAGTAAAATGATGCAGCTGCTTTGAAAACAATCTGGCAGGTTCTCAAAAGATTAAACATAGAGTTATCATATGCCCTAGCAATTCCAGTCCTAGTCTATGCACAATGAAAACCTATGTGCACACAAAAACTTGTATATGAAGTTTCATTGCAGCTTTACTGGTAGTAATCACAAATTGGAAATAGCTCTAATGTCCATCAACCAATAATACATAAACAAATTGTGGTATATCCATATAATGCAATGCCACCCACCAGTAAAAGGGAATGAACTATTAATACATGAGTTGGCATGTATTAATTTCAAAATATTATGCTGAGTAAAAGAAGATATACAAAAAAAAGAGCATATACATGCCATATTTTTTCACATACGTAATATTCTAAAAAATGCAACCTAATCTACAGTGCCAAAAAACTGTTGCTTAGGGAATGGATAGGGAAACAACTAGCAAGGCAGGAAAGGATTGTAAAGAAGATGATGGAGGGATGCCTGGGTGGCTCAGTCAGTTGAGCATCCAACTTCAGCTCAAGTCATGATCCCACAGTTCATGGGTTTGGGCCCCACGTCAGGTTCTGTGCTGACAGCTCAGAGACTGGAGCCCGCTTCGGATTCTGTCTCCCTTTCTCTCTCTGCCCCTCCCTGCTCACTCTATCTCTGTCTCAAAAATAAATAAACACTTTAAAATAATTTATAAAAAATTTTTAAAAAGAGGATGATGGATATGTTCATTGTCTTGATTGTGATTGATGGTTTCACACTTAATCAAACTGTACACTTTAAATACATACAGCTTATTATATTTTAATTATATTTCAATAAAGTTTGTTTTAAGTACACCATTAAATAACATACTTCTAAAAAACACACGTAATCCTACAAATTCCTCCTCCTCTACATTCTCATGTCTTTATACGTGTTTGTGTTTTTACTACTGCAAAGCAGAATGTCTTACTTTTTCCACTTAATACTGTTTCAATGATTATTTCTTAAATTATGATTTATTATCATTTTTTCAAGTTTTTCCTTTTTCTTCAATTTTTTTTTAGTGTTTATTTTTGAGAGAGAGAGACAGAGCATGAGCAGGGAAAGGCCAGGAGAGTGAGGGAGACACAGAACCTGAAGCAGGCTCCAGGCTCTGAGCTGTTAGCACCACGTGGGGCTGGAACTCATGAACCACGAGGTCATGACCTGAGCCGAAGTCAGAGGCTTAACTGACTGAGTCACCCAGGCACCCCTCATTTTTTCAAGTTCTTATTTTGTTATACATGAACTTTTACATGAAAATATAAAATACAGGGGTACCTGGGTGGCTCAGTCGCTTAAGCATCCGACTTCAGCTCAGGTCATGATCTCACAGTTTGTGAGTTTGAGCCCAGTGTCAGGCTCTCAGCTGCCAGCACAGGGGCTGCTTCAGATCCTCTTACTCCCAATCTCTCTGCCCCTCCCCCGCTCATTGCATGTTCTCTCTCTCACTCTCTCTCTCTCATAAATACACACACACATATATATAATACAGAGAGAAAAATGTGCAAATTATAAGTATACATCTCAATGAATTATCACTAAGTGAACACATCTATAAGATCTCGCTTTGAAAACAAGGATCTCTGGGGCACCTGGGTGGCTCAGTCACTTAAGCAGCCAACTTCCGCTCAGGTCATGATCTTATGGTTCTTGGGTTCGAGTCCCACATCTGGCTCTGTGCTGACAGCTCAGTGTCTGGAGCCGGCTTCAGATTCTGTGTCTCCCTCTCTCTCTGCCCCTCCCCTGCTCATGCTCTGTCTCCCTCTCTCTCTGTGAAAAATAAACTTTAAAAAAAAACATTTTAAAAAATTTATTTTTGAAAACAAGGATCTCTTTTTTGAAGGATAGTATTTGGGGCTGAACAATTCACAGTGCACCGTCAAAGATAAACACGGTAGGGCATTAGTTCAAGTGGTGAAAACAGATTTTCTTCAGGAACCACTGACAGTAGAGGGAAGAGCAGAGGGCCATTCAGATTTGTACAGAGGTGCTGGAGTCTTTTAAAGGAAAAATGAGGGTACAGGGAGGGGGCAGAATGAACAGAATCAGAGAAGTGAAAAATTACAAAAAGCTGAGAGGGTTTGTTTGTGTAAAAGGCATCTGAATGAACCTGCTAGTTAACCTGTTAATAACCTGCTAGTTATTGAAGTTAGGTTCCTACCCACCCATAGAAACTGGGAGACAGATGGCCTATCTTCAGGTGTTGACTGCCACAAACAGTAAATGCTTTTGGCAGCCCTGATTTTTGTCAGGCAAGCACCTTAGAGGGGAGGGTCGGCCTAGAGATATGGCCTTAAGCTGTTAGAAACTGTTAGTGTCGGTTTATGGGGGTTTTTTATAGCCAAGGTTGAGGCCTAGTCAAGAGGAGGGCTCAAAGGAGTCTGGCCAGAGTTTGGTCACGGAGAAAATCTTTGCCAGCACAGCTCTCCCACAAATTGAAGGGCTTTCAAAATCATCCTGGGCCCCTTTCCACTAAATGTCAGGGGCCCCCCTCCTCCCTCCCCCAATTATGATAAGCAAAAAAAGAAAAAGACAAAATAGCTCAGTGCCTTCCTAAATGCCCCATCCCACTAAAACCACCACACTATATAATGTCTGATGTGCCTTCCAGCTTTGCAATCCTCAAGTAATACCACTGGCTATTTTGTCTCCATTTGAAGATAGAGTCAGGGGCGCCTGGGTGGCTCAGTCAGTTAAGCTTCTGACTTCGGCTCAGGTCATGATCTCTCGGTCTGTGAGTTCGAGCCCGTGTCAGGCTCTGTGCTGACAGCTCGGAGCCTGGAGCCTGCTTCGGATTCTGTGTCTCCCTCTCTCTCTGCCCCTCCCCCACTTGTGCTCTGTCTCTCTCTATCAAAAATAAATAAATCTAAACAATAAAAATAAAATTAAAAAAGAAGATAGAGTCAAAGAAGCCGGCAGAAAAGACAGTATGCAGAAATGGCAGGCAGGGAATGGAGGGTGGAGGCAGCTATCGCGGCCCTGCCTCCTCTGTAAATCTACATGGCAAATGCATACACACTCCCTTGTCTGAATCACTTTGTACAAATCCCCAGGCAGCAAAGCAAGGAAATGCGCAGACCCTGGAGCAAACCCTAATTCTAATTCCAATTCTTCCATTTGACTTTATTTCTTTGAGCAACTTAGCCTCTCTTAGCCTCTGTTCTCTTACTTGTCAGGGAGATAATACCTACTGCTCAATGTACAAATGCGTATCAAGTAGCCAGCACATAATAAAGTCCAATGATGGTGAGCTCTCCTCCCTCAGGGGGTGAGATGGCCCAGTGCTAGTAAGGTCTTCTCCCCGGGTAAATTCCATTTTCTAGTCCTCCAGTAGGATTCTCTCAAGCTAAAAAACAAAACCAGCAAATGAAAACCTTAGGAGATGGAACTTGAGTAGCAGACTGCAACTATTTTTCTATAAAAAGTACAATTTTACACTCATTCATATAGAGTCTTCAATATATACTTGTTGAAAGCTCACCATGTGCCAGGCACTAGGGCTAAACCCAGATGAAATAGTCTCTGCTCTGAAGGAATTCACGGACCATTGGCAATTCCAAAAAGTTAGGTAAAGAAACAAATCCAAAGAGTTAGGTCATATTGTACCACAGGGCTAAGTGCCGCAATGGAGGAATGTAGGGCAAGATGGAGGCAGGAAGGGAGCGTCCCGCACCCTCCAGGGTGGGGTTGGCTGGGTAAACCCCAGATGTTGATGAGAACTTTCCAGGAAGAAACAAAAGCTTGTGCAAAGGCCTGGAGGCAGCCAGCAGCCTGTTCTCTGAGAACTCGAGATAAGAGCCCTGATGAGAAGTGGGAGGTGAGGGCGGGGGGGAAAGTTGGGAGCATACTGTCTGCTGCAGATTACAAAGACCACTATAGCCAGGTCAAGTAGAAAAGGAGTTTATTGAAACATATTGAGTGGGATGACCATATATTTTCTCACCCCATTTGAGAGGGAAAGGGCACTATTTTTAATTATGCCTGACGGCAGATGTACAGGAGACACGCATGGAGTTGTTAATATTAGGGCACTCCCCAAAGCTGGAAAATTGAGAGCAGTGTGCAGCCTGGAACACTGCCCAGGCCTGCAGTGGGGCGGCCCTGCCGCCCAGACAGGCACTGGACGCTGGACAAGAACTCCTGTCACTGCCACCCAGGGAAGCACCCTTGATGGCATTACCAGCTTCCAAATACGGGCACCTCTGATTGGTGGAGCCTACTTCACACACCTGCCACCAAGTGAAGGAAGACTGAGAAGATAAATTCCTGACACCACCACCTACCGGCTGGGAGGCGTTGAGCCAATTACTTCACTTCCCTGTACCTCTATTTCCTCATGGAGGAAATGGCAAGGATAATAACACTAGCTGCCTTTAGAGTTGGCACGCTGCTAAAATGAAATATGTGTCAAGAGCTTAGACCTGTGCCTGGCACAGAATAGCGCTATGTAAGCATTTGCTATGATTGTCGTTTATTCCCCAAGGAGGCAGAATTCAGAAGAGAGGAAATTCTCTCAAAGAAAGGAAAAGTGTTTTTGCAGGGGCCCAACGGAATGACACATATCCACTACACCTTGATTCAGTGCTGAAATTGTAACAGAAATGAATTATTCCACTCATTTATTTACTCAATAAAAATGGCAGTGTCCATGGGGCTGAGGGTACAAATAATGCCTTATCTTTTCATTTGCATAAATCAAATCAAACATAGCAAAAGCTCCACCCATCAAGGTTGGTAAAAAGCACTAGATGGATCTTCTTTGTGGGGGTGGGACTCCTTACACCACCTTAGTATTAAACAAGAGCCCCAGAAAGTTGTGGGATTGTGTTGCTGGACCCCTGTCTATGGTTGTTGTTGCTGTGGTGCTCTGCCAGGGGCGAGGAGTCCCCGGGTCTGTGGAGGCTATTGTAGGTGGGATTCTTCTCTGGACACTTAACCTTGTCAGCCTCCAACTTAGTCTGCGAGACCTTCGCTGAGCTCTGCAAAGCCATGGGTTTTGGAAGTTCCCGCTCAATGTACACAGGCAACCGTGCCTTCCAGGGGCAGGCTCTCTAAGGCTCCGCCAGCTGCATGGCCCAGACCCAGGGCCACACCAGCCACCATTCTTACACCAACCACCATTCTCCCGTCAGCCCCCTGACTCCACAACTGCTCCTGGTGGTGAGTGTAGGCGTGAGGGACTGGAAGGAGGGGAGAGGGCGATGAAAGCAAGCAAGCCAAAGCCCCCCTTCAACCTCTGCCAGGGGCCTCCGTGCAAGAGGCAGCCTGCCCAGCTCCTGGAGAGAGGGTGTTGAACTGCACTTGGCAAAGGAAATAGTACCTAGAGCAACTGAATATTCCCTTGAAATTACACTACTTTAATAGCTAGATGTGACTGAAAACGTTTGGGACCAAACAGGGATGTCACTAAAGTTCCTTTCTACCCAGTTGGAAAGAGATTTAGCCAAGCAAAGTAGATAGCTGGGAAAAAACAAAACCTTCTCTGTTTATACTTTGGTGGGTTGAGATCTCTCAAACAACCAGTTACAGTTGTTAACTGCCCCCTGGGGGATAAGGAAAGCCTAGACCTTCAGGTTGCAGAGGCCTGGCTACCCTCTTGGCAGAGAAGGAAATGTCGTTCATTCCTTTGTGGTAAATCCAATTCTGAAAAGAAAAAAAAAAAAAAGTTTCTCAATAGGTTATCCTACCACGTGACGAACCACAGGAGTCTGGACTTTCTCCTGTTGAGAAATAGCACTTTAAAGCATTTAAGTAGGGGATATGCATGATTACATTTCAGTTTTGGCGTATTCATCCTGGTTCACACTACATCTTGTATTTTTAAATAAGCTTTTTAAAATTTTGGGATAATTGTAGATTCACATGCAGTTCTAGGAAATGAGACTGATCTCGCATACCCTTTCCCAGTTTCCCCCTGGTAACATCTTGCAAAACTATAGGGCAGTATCCCAACCAGGATACTGACAGTTGATGCAGTCAAGATAGAGAAAAGTTCCATCACCACAAGGATCTCTTATGTTGCCCCTTATAGGATCTCTATGTAGATCCTCACCACAAGGATCTCTTATATTGCCCAACCCCCTCCTTAATCCCTGGCAACACTAATCTGTTTTTTATTTCTGCAATTTTGTCAGTTTCAGAATGTTATATAATAGAATCATACAGATACATATATATGTTTAGACATGTACATATATATGTATGCAGATATATACGTATATGTACAGACATATACAGATACAGATATATAAGTATTATATATACTGTATTCTCACAATAAAGTAAGCTAGAGAAAAGAAAATGTTAAAATCATGAGAAAGGGGCACCTGGATGGCTCAGTCAGTTAAGCGTCTTACTCTTGATTTCGGCTCAGGTCATGATTTCATGGTCCATGGATCTGAGCCCCGAGTCATGGGTTTGAGCTGTGCCGACAACACACAGCCCGCTTGGGATTCTCCCTCTCCCTCTCGTCTGCCCCTCCCCCACTCATATGTGTGCACGCACTCTCTTTCTCTCTCTCAAAAGAAATAAATAAACATTTAAAAAAGGAAATTATAAGGAAGAGAAAAATGCATTTACAGTATTGAACTCTATTTATCAAAACAAATCCACATATAAGTGGACCCATGCTATTCAAACCTGTGTTGTTTAAGGGTTAATTGTATATACTTTTAAACCTAAAAAACTTTCAAAAACATAGATGTGTACCCATCAAAAATACATGATATTGTTTGTGTAGGTTTTAAAAATGTATACATGGTATTATTATATACAATTCGCTCGCTTCTCAGTTTTCTTTTTTCATTAAAAAAGGGGGGTTTGTCTTGCATTTCTTATCGGCGACCTAGAGAGAGACCTAGCCCATTCCTTTCAATGAATACAGAGTATCCACGTGGTATGTATGTGCCACAACTTACCCATCCTTCACTGAAGGATATTTAAGTTGTTTCCAATGTTTTGCTATTACTAAAAATGCTACAGTAAACACCCTTGCATTGTTTCTGTATGCGCGTGTGTGAAAGATTGCAAAAACGGGCCATCTTCTCTGTATCCATTGTAATTTTTCACCCTCCCTGAATCCACTGCAATATGACTTTGAGGCTCTGCCCATCAGCAGTTAACGTCTGTTTCTCCTCCCTTTGAATCTAGGATGACCTTGGGCTTATTTGGCTAAGAGAATGCAGCAGACAAGACAGCATGCCAGTTCCAAGCCTAGGCCTCATGAGGCCTTGAATTCTTCTCCTTTTCTCTCTTGGGTCTTTATCCGCCACCACGTGAACAAGCTGAGGCCAACCTGTTGGTTGGAGAAAGAGAGACCACACTGAAGAGAGCTGAGCTGTCTTCTGAGGGCATCCTGTACCAACCAGACCCAGCTAACCCAGCACGAACTGCTGACAACGACTGAGGCCAGAGGAAATCAAAACTGCCTACCTGAGTCCAGACCACCTGCCAGTCTGAAGAACTGTGAGCCAAGTCATTGTTTTAACAGCAAAAGTTATCAGATACACTTGTGCAGGTATTTCTTTAGAGTGGTTTTCAAACTGTAGCATGTATCAGAATCAGCTGGTGGGCTTTTAAAACCACAGATAGCTGGGCACCCCTGTTGGAGTGTCTGATTGAGTAGGTCGATCTGGGTGAAACCTGAACATATGAGTTTCTAATGACTCGGGTCATGCTAATGATGGTCCAAGTGCCATACTTTGTAAATCATAGCTCTAGAGTGTACAACCTAAAATGGTGTTGCTGGGTCATGAGTTACAAGCATTTTTTTAAACAGCTAATAGACACTCCCAAGCTGCCATCCGAAGTCAAGTTACCCTCAACTAAATTTTAAGGGATGAAAGAATAAACTACCGAAAGAACACATTAAAACCAGATAGTATGGTACAACAAGTGTAACAAAGGAAACAGCAGCATGAAAGAGGAAATGCTCTGAAATTCTTGTGGTTGGAAGGCTGGGCAGAAAGCTGATTAACCAATAGTTATGACCCCTGATATCTACACACCAAAGCACAGAGTATGAGTGATGAAGTAATTTTGAAAGTCTCCCTAGAAAACAGATAGTATTGCATAATACTAGATATTATAGTATAGCTTATACTGCACTGAGATACGGTGGAATAGGACTTGTGGCAAGAAGCAGCTCTAGAAGAAAATTCTTTCTTCCAAAGAATCAAAGGGGAGATAAGATCTTGAATGTCGGTGCTCAGCCTCATTTCTCACTTCTTTCCCCTTTGTTTTCCATGGCCACTTTTAATTTCTTGAATGAACCCTCCTCCCTCCTACCACAGGGTCTTTGCTGTTGCTGATTCCTCTACATGGGACACTTCCTCCTCTTTCTGTCCATGCTTGGACCAAGTTAATTCCCATTTATCCTTAAGATCTTAGATCTCATTTTGCCTCATTAGAAAAACCTTCCCTAATCTTCCAATACTAGATCAAATCTCACCATTATAACCTCTCAACACACTATGCACCCCTCCTTCACAGCTCTTGTTACAGTTGGAATTTTACATTTATTTGTGTGTTTATATGATTCATGAATATCTTACCCTCCCGCCTGTGATCTCTAGGGGGGCTGGGTATGTGTCTGTTTTGAGTAACCATTGTAACCTTAGCACCAACTTTGTCTGGTAAAGAGCAGATACCCATAAATATGTGTTGGATGATTAAGAGTAGGGTTCTGTGAGGGGCGCCTGGGTGGCGCAATCGGTTAAGCGTCCGACTTCAACCAGGTCACGATCTCGCGGTCCGTGAGTTCGAGCCCCGCGTCGGGCTCTGGGATGATGGCTCAGAGCCTGGAGCCTGTTTCCGATTCTGTGTCTCCCTCTCTCTCTGCCCCTCCCCCGTTCATGCTCTGTCTCTCTCTGTCCCAAAAATAAAAATAAAAACGTTGAAAAAAAAATTTTTTTTTAAAAGAGTAGGGTTCTGTGAAAGCCTTCAATGAACCTTAGATCAAAAGTGCAATGGGAAACATTCTGAAGAGGAAAATAGGAGAGGAAACAGAAGTACTTTCAGGACATCACACACTAGCAGGTCACAAATAGCAATGACGGGCTGCCAGCCGTTTAAACAACCACATCAAAAGTACTGGCTACTAGATCTCTGATCTCCTGGAGTAAAGTTTCTATTGGTGGACTAGTGGGTTCTGTATGAGGTCCAGTCATATTCAATATTTGAACAAGATGGAAGGCTTACCTATCTTGTTTGCAGATGATATGAAAGCCAAAAGGTTATTATAACATAGACAGTGACAGAATTTAGGTTAAAAATAATGCCAATGGAAATACTAAGCCAGGGGCGCCTGGGTGGCTCAGTCAGTTAAGCATCCAACTTCAGCTCATGTCATGATCTCATGGTTCATGGCCCTGCATCAGGTTCTGTGCTGACAGCTCAGAGCCTGGAGCCTGCTTCGGATTCTGTGTCTCCCTCTCTCTCTACCCCTCTCCTGCTTGCACTCTCTCTCACAAAAATAAACATTAAAAAATTACAACAACAAAAAGAAATACTAAACCAAAACAGGTAAGATAAAGGTTAATCAATCTTGCAAGTACATGCTAAAGAAGGGAAGCTAGGTTTGACTATATTGTTTATATAAATAAAACAAAACAAAACAAAACAAAAAGACTTGATTGCTGACCACATATTCATTATGAACCAGTCTTGCAATTCAACTGGTGAAAATGCCAACTGTCCAGAAGAGGGAAGATGATGGGCTCACTTTACCGTGGACCCTGAAGCACAGTGTCTGCTGGTTCTTAGAACTGGTTTGGGGCCCGGAAACCTTAAGATATGAAGAACGATTAGAGTAGCTGGAGAAGGTTAGCCTGCAAAAGTAAACATTGAGGGAAAACAAAAACTGACCTCACGTAAAGGCAGCCCACCAAATTCATACTTCCAACTTCAGAAAAGATGCTCTTTTTAAATCTCTCATGATTTTTTATTTCCACAATTTCTGATAAATTCTTTTTAATATCTTTGTTGTTTCACTTATTCCCATTTTTTCATAATTCCTTACTTGTTTTGTGAATATTAGGCATTCACTTCTCTCTTCGAGGATTCTTTGGGAAACAAACATACTTTGTTTTCTATCAACCTTTTTTTTTTTTTTTTTTAACCAGGGAATGGCTTCTTTTTTCTCTTTTCCTATAGATTGTCCTACTGCTTTCATTTGTTTGAGCTATTTCACTTTTTGATTATTGCCAGTGTTTCTTAGAAATATTTTCCTTCATATGTTTAGGAAATTTGGTTTGCTGGTTTATACTTAATGGAAATTTTCTTTCCTTCTTACTTTTCCTTCCTTTCCTTTTTCTCTATTCCTATCTTTCCCCTCCTCTTTCTGTCTTTACTTTTTAAAGTAAAAGTTTACTTTTTCTTCTTTCTGGTTTCTGTGGCTCCCAGTCCAGAGCAAGCTAGAATATTGCCGTTCTGGGCTCTTGCCCCATGGTGATAGTAAAGAGGCAGCCAACACTTCTGCCAGCTGTTTGGTTAGGTTGCCTCCTAGGTACTTGGCTCTCATGGAGAACATTTATTCTCTGTTACCTTCACAGAAGCTATACTATGGGTGGCCTCGACCTGCTTCTGAACTGCTGGAAGTTCACCAGGAACTTGCCTTTTGCTCTCTGCATGGCTCTGTGCTTCTATTCCATTTTTGATCCAAGGAGAAGTACAGAAGAGTATATAAAATATATGTACAAATTTAAAAAGAATACTAAAATGAGAGCTCATTGTGACCACCACTAGCTATGTCTTTTACATTTTTGTCTTTGTATTTTTGTTCTCTTGTTGTCATGTGCTTGGAGTAGTGGGGCTTCCAGCAATACCATCTGATAGAATGCACCTGTCCATTCTAACTGAAGGTGGTGCTCTAGAGACCTCTGTGAGTTTCAGTGCCAAACCCCTGAGTCCTAGGATACCCTGATCTCTTGCTGGTAGTGGCTTTGTTAGCAGCCCCAGTGCTTTATAATTATTTAGCCCCAGTGTCTCCCTAATAAATACATATATTGAAAAGTAAATATGCATAATTGTAAAATTGAAATGGATAAGTGTTTAATTATCTTTAAAATTAACATCGCCATTACTTGTTCAGCAATAATTGTACACCTTTTACATGTAGCAATTAAAAAATGTTACCTTTTACATGTAGCAATTAAAAAATGTTTTAATGTTTATTTATTTTTGAGAGGGAGAGAGACAGAGACAGAGACAGAGAGAGTGTGAGCAGGGGAGGGGCAGAGAGAGAGCAGGACACAGAATCCGAAGCAGGCTCCAGGCTCTGAGCTGTCAGCACAGAGTCCCATGTGGGACTGGAACTCACAGAGGGCGAGATCATGACTTGAGCCCAAGTCGGTGGCTTAACCGACTGAGCCACCGAGGCGCCCCTTTTTGTAGCAATTTGATATTAGATTTCTTATTTCACAGTAATCTCTGATCATCTACAGATGTCAGAAATGATAGCTAATTGTAAATTATTTCAAGTGCAAAAAAACGTTTAAATGTTTGCAGCAAAAAGAAAAATTGTTTTTAATATGGGCCTGCATATAACTTAACGCTTGATGTGGTGTAACGCTGGACCTCCAAAAGTAGATTTTAAAAAGGACTCAAGTAAATGGAAGGAGCTGAAATGAGGCATAAAGAAAGGACATGGCAAGAGAGAGAGTTGGGGGTTGGGCGCGGTGGAAGGAGGTGCCTGCAGAGTGGCTGCTGTGTACGTGGCGCTGTTCCAAGCGCTGAGAATCCAAAAGTAAAAGTCACAGCTCTCCAAAGAGGTCATAGCCTGTCTGGTAAGCAATCAGGTAAGTTCAATGAAAGCGTTAAGTATTATTAAGGAGGTGTGAGCACTGGGGGGTCAAAAACGTGTGGCGAGTACTTCCGCTGGGATGGCAACTGGGAAGGCTTCCCTGAGGAGGTGACACTTGATCTGAGGAGAGGCAGAGAAGAGAAAACTGGTGCGGGGAAAGAAGAAACATCAACAAAGAGACCAGGCAAGGAGATAAAGGGAAAAGAGGAAAGGCTCGATGCTATCGGCGCTCCCGAATCCGGCGTCGACTGCTAAGGTCTGCGCGCGGTCACCGCCTCCTCATTTCCATCCAGTCCCCTCCCCTCCCCGCGCCTCTGCCGCCCGCCCGGCCTGCGCGAGCTCCGAGGCTTCGGTCTCGCAGCGGACGCCATGTACCGGCTCCTGTCAGCCGTGACGGCCCGGGCCGCGACCCCCGGAGGCTGGGCCTGGGGCCGCGGGCGGCGCGCGGCCCACCACCGCGCTGGCCTGCCGCCCCTCGGCCCCGGCTGGGTCGGGGGGCTGGGGCTGGGGCTGGGGCTAGCGCTCGGGGTGAAGCTGGCGGGCGGGCTGAGGGGCGCCGCCCCCACGCAGTCTCCAGGGGCCCCCGACCCCGAGGTGTCGCCCCAGGCGGAGCCGCTGCCGCCGCAGGAGCAGCCCTTCGCTCCGTGGTCTGCACAGACCCCGATGCTGCCCCCTACCCGGCGCTTCGCCAGAGCCATCGACA